AATATGGTCCCATGGCAACCTTAGGAGCCCATTTTGCCTTTTTGAAAATTATTATTATACAGTACATATTAAATATAAAAGTTTAAAGCCTTTAAAAAGTGCGTACGTTAATTACTTTATATTAAAAATAATTATTTAAATTAAATGAATTGAATAATTAATGATATTTTTCATATATCTGGTCAATAAACATAAAGTTATTTTTAAAATTTCAAGATATTTATAGAGGTCATTTATTCATACACGTGATACAGGCTACCTGGTCTCGTAATCAGCTGCTTAAATTAATAACAAATGCGTTTGGACAATTTATGCGTAAAATACCAGTATAAAGCAAAAAAGTAATTAATGGAGTAGGCATTTTTTTGGTACAGAATTATTCGATATATACAAGCTAAAATTTAATGTCATAAATTTGCACTTAAATAGGGTTAAACCTTTTAACTTGTTGGTTATATATTTTTCATGGCCAAGTTGAATAATTGAACCGACAACCTCGTTTTAAGTTGCGTATTGGAGTAGGTGTCAATGCAACAAATCTAGTCTGCCGTCAAGCATGCAACTTGATCTGATTGAGGTGCATTTAAACACGACTTATATAATTTAAAATTAATCTTAACGACTAGCCTAAACATTATTAAAACTATGATAACTTTACATTAAGGTTGAGTAATTTATAAAAACAATTTATTTGTTATAAAAATTGGTACACGGGAAAAATAAAACAGTAACTATAGTTATATATTGATGCGCAGAACACTAATCCACTTATTTTTTATTCAAAATTATTACTGTGCGGAATTTTTTTCACTACAGTTGCTGGCACTACTCATTGATGTCACAAAACTAACTTTTGGTGTTGTCAAATAGAAATTGTATGATTTTAAATGGCACACTGTCCAGGAAGCAAAAACTACTTTTTAGTTCAAATAACATGTATTTCACATCTCAAACAAGTCATATGTCCGCCCTAAATAACATCACAAAGTTACGTTATTTTTAGGATGTCATAAAATAACGTTATTTCAATATCCAAATCACGTTATTTTAGGATGTCATATTTATTATGTTATTTAGGGCGGACATATGACTTGTTTGGGATGTTATTTTAACTAAAAAGTAGTTTTTGCTTCCTGGGTGACATTGTATTCATTGATGCCAACTCGTGGGAAATTTCCCATTTTGAGGGAAATTTTACCTCAAATTGAGACAAATGGGAAAAAGGGAAATATTAAAAAAAATGCCGTCCATGAGGGAAATTTATATCAATTCAAAATGAAAATTTATAATTAACCCTTTCCTACTTTCTCTAATCGAATAATTCGGATTTTTTTTATGACTTTTATGACTTTTTTTCGTATTTTATACAAAAAATATATATAACTCTATAACTTTTAATGTAACAAAACTTTATTTGGATTTACATAAAAAAATATGTATTCTTTTAAAGATCAAAACAATAGGCATTTATAAAAGAAAGGATATGCTTATACTTGCAAAATATGAACGAAATCCTTTAGCTTTTATACATATACATATAATCATTAATACAAGCTAAAGGATTTCCTTCATATTTTACAAATATAATTATATAAGCATAAGGATATATCCTTTTTTATCAATATGGCAAATTGTTTTATATTTTTATTTTACATTTATTTTACATGTATTTATGTATTTATACACGTTGTTTTTCATAGGTTTACTAATAAATACTGTTTAGTCCAGGAAACAAAGATTTTAGAAGGAAAACTCGATGGTATACCATAGTATACTATAGTCGGGTTTTATTTTTTTTAAGTAGAGTCATGGGTGCTAATAATGAATCAAGAATATTCATTAATACAAGCTAAATGATTTCCTTCATATTTTACAAATATAATTATATAAGCATAAGGATATATTCTTTTTTATCAATATGGCAAATTGTTTTATATTTTTATTTTACATTTATTTTACATGTATTTACCCAGTAAACATTTGTGATATCACGAAAAAGTCATGACGTGACATGTCACAACTTGATATCCAATTGCTGGCACAGTGATTAAGTTTGTCGTTTTATGTCAAGCAGTGACACGCGCGTGATCTTTTTATGTCACGACGTGACCCCGCAGGGACGAAACTTTTCATTTAAATGACATTACTTTAATTTGTTCATAATACGTTAATTACGTATTATGTTATTATTGTTCTTTAATACACGTTATACGTTAATGATTTTAAACAATAATTATTATTTCCCCAAAAAAAAAAAATATATATATATATATATATTTAACTTCACTTTATATGTGTTTGCGATTTTGCAAGCGAAAAAAAATTAAATTCGTTTCCGTTTTATTTTTAATCTATAAATAATAATTATTATTAATAAACTTAAAAAAATCAGTATCATACCCAAATTTTATTTTAAATATCTATTTGGGATGTTCCAGCGCCGCCTCTGGATTAACTAAATTTAATTTACATTAAATTAAGGCCTTTGCCTACTACTAAAAACCTAAAAGGTTTTATCAAATTCGCCCAAAAAATAAATATTTTTTTAAATAACTTTACCACCCTGCCTCTCGAAAACGAAGCTTAAAAACATACATACTTTTCTTCTGATATTTTCGATTTCTATAGATCACTAAATTTTCCCAATTAAAATCTGCGACACCCTGTATAAATGTATGCTATAAGTATAATACCTATATATAGGTATTATACTTATAGCATACTTGATGCACCCTGTATAAAGGTAGTGTGCAAAACTTGTCTTATTATTATTTTATTTAAATAAACGTTGACTGTTAATATTTTAGCCCATAATTTTATTTCACCCAAGGCCGCAAGTATGTTGAAGCTGTGATATACGATAAGAGGGTCGTCGCTATTGTTACTAGCGATGCAACGTGTTTTAAAAGACGTTGCATCGCAATTAAAGACAGCGACGACGCTTTTTTTGTTTATCACAGCTCCAACATGTTTTCAATATTCCCCTGCACTTTCGCTCGCGCATGCGCGCTAGCAATGTCACGGAGTGATATACCATTGAGTGCGTATTGCGCTTGAATGTCACGACTTGATATACCATTGATTGTGTATTGTGGAAACATATGAATGCGCCAGTGATATCACAATGTCACGACGAGATTTCGGAGTGATTTCAATACGCAATCACAAATGTTTACTGGGTATGTATTTATACACGTTATTTTTTATAGGTTTACTAATAAATACTGTTTAGTCCAGGAAACAAAGATTTTAGAAGGATGCAAAACTCGGTATTTGACCAATCACCAATCACGTCGCTAGTATACGCATTAACTGACGGCATAACAATCACCTGATTAATTGTTATTTTTTTGGTATTTGCACTTTTCACTTGCAAAACTTGGTCTTTGAACGAGGAAGATGCAAAACTATGTTTTTAAATCTTTTGATTTCAATTATTTACTAAACTACTTAATTTTAAAGGACTTTTTTTTTACTTTTTTGAATAAGAAATGATGCAAAAGCACGTCTATACGATTTTTGCATTTTTTTTTCAAATATTACCTTATGAGCGGTTTTTCGTGTTTTTCTTAAAATCACTTATCCTGCAAATACAGAGTTGTGCATCTAATGTACTCATATCCTTTTTTATCAATATGGCAAATTGTTTTATATTTTTATTTTACATTTATTTTACATGTATTTATGTATTTATACACGTTATTTTTTATAGGTTTACTAATAAATACTGTTTAGTCCAGGAAACAAAGATTTTAGAAGGAAAACTCGATGGTATACCATAGTATACTATAGTCGGGTTTTATTTTTTTTAAGTAGTCAGGGGTGCTAATAATAAATCAAGAATATTCCCCAAAAATTTCTTTCCGCGTCCCCTAATTTCATCCCCCGAAAGGGAAGTTTTTTGCTTTTTGGCTCATAACTCGCTAACCGTGCATTTTTTTAGAATTTGACCTCTAATACATTTGATTTTGTACTAAATAAGGCACACGTTAAACCCCATTGCGTACCTATATGATGTGCCCTTTTGCTATGCGCAGTGTGCAAAGTTGAGCGTTGCTATCAAAATCACTTTTTTGTTTTTTTTATTATAGCCCAATTTTAAAAGTAATCGATCCCAAACCTTACGGTAATCAAACAAACATAATCGAGTGGACGATTTTTTGAGGTACTAGACTTTTTTCAAAAGTTACTGCTTTTCAATGTACAGGGGGTTCTTTTTTCAAAACTTTAATTTTTGTGGGGCATGCCCCAGTGGGGCAGCCCCACAAGTGCACTTGCAAAGAAACTAATTTAAAAAAAACTACGGATTCCTTACGAGGATAAGTGTATCTAAAAATCTAGGGTAGAACTGGCTCCTTAAAGCCGTTTGAGAAATAAAAAATGGGGTTTTTCAAAAAAGAACCCCCCGTTACATTGAAAAGCAGTAACTTTTGAAAAAAGTCTAGTCTCAAAAAATTGTCCATTCGGTTATGTTTGATTACCGTAAGCATTGCAGATATTAAATAAAGATAAACCCTAAACAATGCTCTCTTCAAATTATAATTTTAATAATACATTTTAAAATAATTTAATAATAATAAATTTATTTCCAATAATAATTAGTATAGGTATCCTACTTGTTGTAGTTTGTTCTTACGATTCATAATATTATTTGACACACTCTTTAAAAAATGTTAAATTCCATTTTGTCTAAAGTTTTAGTAAGTCAGTATTATTTGCATATTTTTACCAATAACCCATAATTTATAATTTAAACTATTCAACTCTTCCTGCATTTTAATAATTTAAAATATTATCATTATTTTTAAAAATTTAATGGAGAACTGTCATAAAACATACAATGGCAATAACAAAAACGTGATTGATTATATATTTTAGTGGAAATGTTTGATTGTCAGTGATAAAATGCTATTAATAACGTCAGTCTTTTACAATTGCACTTTATTTGTTAAGATTAAATTATTGGAAAAGCTTAATTTAACCTTTTCTTTTTTTTTCAGAAAGTATCAAATGACTGCTGAACGAGATAATTGCGGCCTAGGCTCCTTATTGCCAATGTCTTGCAGAGGAAGAGCAGAAGCCTTCGCAAGAAGCCTTCACTCGCGGCTATCATCACTTGGAACCCAAAATGGAGGTAATGGAACTGCTACTGAAACCAGCTGGTTGCACTTGGGCGCCCATGAGCCATCCATTGCCTTATCTCAGCCCAGACATTCGGGCGAATCAGAAATGTATTTGGATTTTGGCCTACTCGAATCTCCCAGTCCCGAAGAAGATTTGGATGAAGCGGAATTGCATAGACTTATTAATAAAGATAACCTTAAACACTTAAATAGCGCAGACTGTCACTGTACAAATACCAAAGAAAAAAATAACATTTTATTAAATAGTGCCACAAAATCCACATCGAACGATAGCGATTCCAGTGATGGACCGTTTTACGATACTGTTAACGAGCTTGATTCGAGACTTACAAATCACTTACACAACGAACAAACAGAAACATCCCACCAAGAGGATAACCCTTCCGTATCATCTACAACTAATTCAAAAGAAATAAGTAATCATTCAGATGACTCCTATGCAACAACCACTGAAAATACATTAAACTCATTATCTGAAGCAACATCGACATTAAGTTTAAAAGATGAAAACACAATCTCAAATGAAGAAACAAATGGTTCTTTAACAGATATATCTGAAAATATACAGGCTGATGACATAGACTGTTGCCCAAAAAGTGAGGAAAAAGAAACATATGTTAATGGTAAAAGTATTGCAAAAGACTTAACGGTGGAATGTCCGATATTTAAAGCCATCATAAATGACACAAGTAAAAATGAAGAGGTGATTCAAATAACACAAGATGGAGACAATATAGAAATACGCACAAGCAGCGAGTTCGATGATCAAGAAGAAAGAATTCCAAGAGTAAGAAGATGTTCTTCGCTAAAAACCGGCAAAACTCCACCTGGAACACCTGGAAGAAAAAAGATTGTTAGATTTGCTGATGTTTTAGGATTAGATTTGGCAGATGTAAGAACGTTCTTAGATGAAATACCCAAAATTCCAACATCGGCCTATGAAGACTTAAGAGACGTAGAAATAAACGATACTTCTGTCGAACCTCTTTCAAATGTATCACTTAAGTGCCATGGAGTCAAAGTTGACAAAATTTTACTTCCATTGTTTCAACAACCAGGAGCTTTACCAAACTACATGGATCTTGTTCGAGATAACTGCGTTTGTTTGGAAAATGCCATTGTCGATGATCCTGTTAATTTTGCCATAAAGGGGACTGTTCGAGTTAGAAATCTGGATTTCCATAAATCAGTACATATCAGATATACACTTGATTCATGGAAAACCTTTTTCGACGTCCAAGGAAACTATGTACAAAACTCATGTGATGGATTTTCGGACACGTTTACTTTTGTCATTTACCCACGTAATCTATCGGTTGGACATAGGTTGGAGTTTGCTGTTAGGTTCCAGTGTAAAGGTTTTCAGTATTGGGACAGTAACAAAGGAGTCAATTATTGCTTTCAGTGCCTACCATCGACGAACAACACACCCTACACACCCATTACAGGCGCCGATTTCGATCATTGGGGAGCCAGTTTTTACTAGTGAGTTTCCTTTTTTATTATATTATATTAGTCGCAGTTAATAACGACCAAGAAAACTATAATCGACAACATTTTTAGTTTGACTGACTATATTCCATAGGGTAACATTGTTTATCCTTAATTTTAAGAAAGTTTATTTAAATTGTCAAAGTAGATTTTTCATTTGCATACCACTGGATGGCTTATAAAGGAAATAGTACTATTTTTGTTGTTTTGTTTTTTGTTAATATATAATTCTTAATTGACGACAATAAATTTGACTTAATTGGCAATTATCTAAGATAATAATATTATAATTATATTTTACTTTTTCTTGGTTGCTATAGCTTTAGTTTGCTTTTAGAATATTTTTGGGTACATACTACTTTTTGGGCAGTCATGCATACCTGTTAATTTTTTACTTAGCATGCCTTATTTTTTACAGTCAAATGCTTGAATTTGTATTTGTCCTTTGTCTTGTTGTAAATGAGCGATAAAATAATTAAAATACGATTAAACAAACTAAATCTTAAGTTTAGTTTATTTTTTAGTATAAAAATAAATAAGCTTGGGAAGTCTATTGTTCAATGGTGTCCTGATAAATTTTTGTATAATATAACGCCGTAAATCATTAACTGAAACATACCACCTTACAAATAAAATACTAACATGGGTACATATTATGGTCATTTCAAAAATATTTGCTTATGGGTGTACACATACGTTAAATAAATAAATAAAATTTTCATGTGTGAAAGGTATCTAAACGGAATAAAAGTTTAAATAAAATTTTTACGAAGAAGTATGGATTTTAAAATACACTAGCTTTTTAATTAAGCATGTCTGTAGTAGAGTTATAAAACAGCATTTATTTGTATAGTCCTGTATTTGTGGCAAATATTATTTTGTGAGTCTTGGTATTGCTTATATGTTTAATTTAGGTGCATTAAGTTTTTAATAATTAAAAAGGCTTTTTAAAAAGGGTACAAACTTTGGTTATACAATTATATGAAAAGAGCATTTCGAAGTTATGGAATAATATTCATCCATTTTACTTAAATAAATTATAAAAAAGTAAAATTTTTCATTTATGACATTGTGTTTAAGTTTCTTTAACATTTAATATGAATTATACAAATATTTAAAAAAGTGGTATTATATATATATATATATATATATTTTATATTATACAGGGTATAAGAAATATAAGGCACTAGCTCATCACTACGACATTAGAAAAAATTGATTGCACAATGTTTAGGGCGTCCCCCACCTCTTTAACGTAAAGAAGATAATATTTGCCCTTTAAAGAGGTGGGGGAACTCCAATTAAATTTTTTTTTTGTTTATTTTGGTAATAGTAGGCCACTTTTTTAATCTAAAAAATGGTTGCCATAATGTATTTCGCTTCGCCCTATAGTATAGAATCTTTACATATAATATTATATATTATGTTTATTTTTAACCAAAATTAATCAAATTATTAATCTGTTGAATTTGTATATTGCCTATAATAATTTTAAACTTTTTCTACCTTAAACCAAATAAAGTCATTTGTGTTAATTATAATGGGATGTATTTAAATCATAAGAACTTTTTGTGTTTTTATGTAGTTTAAAGTAAATAAAAATTTTTACAGCTTTTGTTGTAATGCATTTAGTAGTATTTTAAAATAAGCAGAACAATTCTTAGGTATGTAAGCTAATTTTATATCAAGACAAAAAAATTAAAAAGCAGTGTAATTTTAAAATTATAAAATGAGTTTGTTTAAAAAAATTATTATTATTATTATTATTATTAAATACGTAATGCAATAAAAATTACATGCTTATGGGATCATTTTAGAATCTAATTGTAAACACAAATCAGCATCTATTTGTGGTAAAGCATTTTTTACCAAAATCTAAAAATGTGGTACATTATTTCAGCTAATGAGGTACAGCAGACACTCTTTCGGGTTAGGCTGAACATTAAGAATAATGCATGATAGGTAGAGGTGAATGTTTTTGAAAACCAAAAACGTGATTTTCCAGGATTGTTAGACACACTTGACGTTAAATAAAAGCACGGTTGTGCATTGCTGGCCAACCAAAAAAATGCGTAGACAGCTGCTTTTAATATAGCTGTGTGTCAAGTCTACAAAATTCAACTGAATCTAGCAACAACATAGAGCAACATCAAATGAAACCAGCTGCAGTGCAGGACTATATTGATAAAACTTTGTCAGCAAAAAATCAAGGAAAGCCACCAACAAAAGTGGATCATACATTTACTTTAATTTCTGTTTTGTTATTATCCATAATTTTTTTATATTTTCAAAAAGTTGTATATTTTACATAGGATATTATTGAACAATATTTTTTATATAGAGAAAGTAAATTATTGGTGGAAATAAAATGTGCCCCACATACTATGAAAATGTTATATTTCTTTAGCTCTATTTTAAATAATTTAAAGATTGAAGATTGTTCTAAATTAATTGTATGCTGCTCAAATAACAGGTTTAATGTGCAAGTTGTGTATAAATATAACAAAAATTTGTTGAAATTTCATGACAAAAAAAGGAAATATGAAGATTTCTACTTTTTATTAAAAATTTAAATTAAATTCCCCAAAAAGGATAAATTAACAACTATGAAATTACCTAGTCAAATGAAACAAACATATTTGATTATGCATGATTTTATAAAAGTGCATTGATATTGTGATTATTTTATTATAAAGTGATATATTAATATTTATGTAAAAAAAATTAAACAAAAACTAAAAATACTGCTTAGCTATTAAAACCGCACAATAAATATAAAAATAATAACTAATGTAAAAATTGTTGGTGCCTTTCTGTTATTATTTTAAAGTTTAAGTATAATTTACTGGTTCCTATTTTTAATCGGCTGTGGACGTTATTGAGATTATTTATTTTGTTAATTTATCCTTAATTGTATAGCTCATCTGATATTTGGAGTATTATTTATTAATATGTAGTTAAAAAATAAACGTATAAAAAAATGAAATATTGCAATATTAAGATAACTAACTATAGTTACACAAAAAACTAATACTAAATTAATATTAGATGGTCTATAAAAACTAATCCTTATAAGTTATGAAAAACATGTCCTTAAAAACTGCGTACATACATTTTTTTAAATTATTTTAATTACTGTACAATGTTTTGTTAAAGCGGCCTTAAAAGTAACAAATTTCAGGAAATATATTAATTGTTGTTAATTAGATATGTAGAAGAAGATAAATTTAAATATTTTTATATTAAAAATATATTTATTGTTTTTGTACTATTTTTCTTGTGCATGGTGTTTGTATATAGTATTTTTAGGTTACCATGAACAATTTTAAACTTGCATTTTATTTTATTATTTTACAAAAATTATTTTAAATTATGTAGACATGTTATATTTAGATTGTTTTACTCGAATATTTTAATTGTTATAATTTTTATGTTATATGTATATATAAAATGGCGAGTTGGATATAATGGGCTTTTGTTTATTGTAACTGATATTAAAATAAATTCCGCAGAAGGAAAATGGGTGCTTTTTAATGTTTTTGACTTTTATTGCCCTTATCAGTTACATATCTTTCATTATTAATCAACTGCTTCCTAATTTAAATATATTTTACATTATGAAACTATTATATGTATTCTATTAATGTTTTTATTAAATAATTAGGTTAAATTTACATTTTTTAATGCTGTGCTTGACACATTAAACCTTGTTACATGATGAGTTAAGGTACCATATTTAATTTAATATATATATATATATAATATATATATTATATATATATGTTACGGCTAATGTGCAAACTTGGATAGTTTATAAACTAGCCAAACTGTCAGCTATTTTAATTGAAAACATATTTTCAACTAAATTAGCGGCTAGTTTACAAAATAACCAAGGATCTTGGCTAATTTACTTGAAATTATTAGGTAAACTAAATTTGGCTAATATGAAAACCAAAATTATTAGGTAAACTAAATTTGGCTAATATGAAAACCAAAATTTCTAGTAACACAAACTAGCCAAGCTTTAGCTAGTTTGTAAACTAACCAATTTATTCTCTGGCTATTGCCCATTTTAGTTGGGTTTTTTGCTCAATGGGGCGGGGGGGCCCAATGGGGCGGGGTCGGTTGGGTTGTGTTGTTGAGTTTGGGTTGGTTTTGGTTTTTTTTCTCTCATTTTTGACCATTTGACCAATGGGGCGGGGTCGGTAGGGTTGTGTTGTTGGGTTTTCTAACAAGGAAGCGTTAAAATTTTGCCTATGATTCATTTTAAAAACGTTAAAATGCACAAAACAAATCCTGTTAAACCGGCAAAACGAAAAACAATGCCGTGACCTCACTTTTTTAATAAATTAGCCAGAGAATTGGTTGGTTAGTTTACAAACTAGCTAAAGCTTGGCTATTTTGTGTTACTAGAAATTTTGGTTTTCATATTAGCCAAACTGAATTGGATAGTATACAAACTATCCAGCTATTTTAGTTTCCCAAATAATTTCAAGTAAATTAGCCAAGATCCTTGGTTATTTTGTAAACTAGCCGCTAATTTAGTTGAAAATATGTTTTCAATTAAAATAGCTGACAGTTTGGCTAGTTTATAAACTATCCAGCTAGTTTATAAACTATCCAAGTTTGCACATTAGCCATAACATATATATATATATATATATATATATATATATATATATATATATATATATTTATTAAACCCAATTGGTAATCTAGTTCGCAGAGGCTATAGCAAATTGATTAAGATTAAAAATTAGAGTCCAATATGATTAAATAGACTGATATTAGTAAGTGGATTTTGGCGGTCATGTATATTTTAGTACCTGATTGGGAAAAAATGTAGATACTGCTATGAAGTTTGTATCTATTGAAAATGTATCAATAAACCTTTTTATTATTTGTAAGTATGTTTTATTTTTTTTTAACAAAATAAATTTATATTTAAAATGGTCTTTTATTTGTTTATTATACAAAAGAATCTACTGTGTTATTTTAGGACTCGACCAGTGGCGTGCACAAATGAACAGCGACCCCATCGCGAAAACTCATAATTTTCTTACCTTACTTGGTGGGTATAAAGAAAATAACGGATAAAATAAAATAAAAACTATTCTGGTCTTCAATTTAGTGAGATAAAAATATCAAAGTTGAGATTTTACAAAGATATATTTGTTTTTTGTCAATTTGATGATTCTAAAGAGCACCCAGAAAGCACCAAACACTCGGCAAACAGTCGGTCTTCGCTCGGCATAGGCGGTTGACCGGCGGTTCGGCTTGCCCCAGCCACCCCGCGATATGTTACCCCCGGTACCGTTTAGCTATGTTCTATCCGAAGTCGGCCAGAATACGGCATCCCGCTGCAAAATCCTTCGGCTTGCCCTAGCCGGACTCGGCTGGAATGCGGCCTGCCGCGGCATAAGCGATACATCTCATGGCTGCTTACGCACCCGAACTATCTATAAATAGCGATTGGTTGCAATATTTAGTTGGAAGTGTGCGTCCGTAATGGCATAGCTGAACATTAATTGTTTGGAGTCCCCATCTCCATTCTCATCTGCTTAGTAACTAATAATGTCTAACTAGTCGAGTGTGTTAAAAAAGTATCTTGCCATTCAGAGAATTTCACGACTGAACTTATAGGATATACCTCTCCAGAACGCCTGTAGGCTTCTTTTGAATGGCCAGGCGGTTGTGGCCGGCATTCGGCCAACTATACACAGCCGACACTCAGCCGAGTAAACATAGCCGACATTCGGCCAGGCGGATATGCCCGACAGTTGGCCAGGCGGACATGCCCGTTCTTCACGCCGGAAGAAATACGCGGCCGATTCGGGCCGTATGCGGGCCGGCTGCAGATATTTTTTCCTTAACGTCCAACGTCCCGAGTCCGCCCGCTTGCCGAGTCCCGCTGCTTTACCGAGTCATCTCGCGCTTGCGAACTCAGTGACTAACGTCTAGGTACAGAAAAATTGCGAAGCTTCGAAACCAACCCAAACCCAACCCAACCGACCCCGCCCCATTGACCCCCCCCCCCCGCCCCATTGAGTACTAATTTTTCAACGAAGGAATATTCATTTAATTACATTTTATATTATATAACTGTTGCAAAATTATTATGAGGCAAGGTAAATAAATTAAAATATTAATGTAAAATTAAATATAAATGCTTTTAAGGCCACATTGCCTCAGCTCACTTTGCTCTGCAAGATTATGGCTGAATGGGAAATTTCCCGTACAGTGGATAGGTTGAATTGGGCCATAACCATGGCCACAAAGATCTCCAGATCTCGCACCGTTAGATTTGTTTTGTGGGGTCACATCATATTCCTTGTTTTTAGGACTGTAGTTTAAAATGAACAAAATTTTATTAACAGAATTCAAGATGCTTTCGCAACCATAACGCCTCAAATGCTGGAACAATACAGAATAACATTCTGGGACTCAACTTTATTTAAATATGCAAGAACAAAATTTAGAGCAGTTTTTGTTATTATTTTAGTACATTTTTTATTGTCCTTTTCCTTGTCCAAAAACGAAACATGGACAATGTTTGGTTCCTCGCATCTTTCTGATGTAGGTCGTATAGGAACTACTAAAATTTTAAGTCAAAATGTTAATACGAATAAAATAATGGAATAAAACTAAGTAAATTAAAGACAAATTGGTAATTAAATTTTTTTATTTAATAATACCATACAAAATTCATAACTATAGTAAAAATATAAACACTAGTAGTAAGCTATATTTAAATCACAATTTTCATGTATAGTGCTATACATATTTTGGAAGCACAACAAGTAATCACATTATTATAATGTCAAGGGTAAAATATTTTTAGAAAAAGAAATAGTTACTATTTAAAGATCCTATAATAATTGCAATTATATAGGATATATGTTTTAATACTTTTTATTAAATATATTACTCAGTAAAGGTCATGGTATAAAAACATTAAATTTCATAAAAATGTTACTGTTTGTCAAAACGTCAATATAATGCCAATTTTTATTCGAATTACTTAAATACAAACGTGCTAGTTAAAAGTTTTCAAATGAAACTTTTATGAATTTGAGTTATCCTTTAAAGGATTTAGACTCGAAGCCCGGCTTTTATGCTAAATAGACCTTATAATTAAAATTAAATGATTAGATGTGTTCCAGTTTCCAAAATGTAAATAAATTAATATCAAAATATTCAACAATATATATATTTTTAATTTTAAGGCTTTTCTGGCAATTTTAGTGCCAAATATTGTTTATGCAATCTTTGTTTACAAAATTCGTAAAATTCAATTTCTTTTGTAAAATTTTTTCTAACAATTTCTTTTATTTCTTCATTTACTGGAGGCTTGAAGGAATTTTTGTTGATTGGATTAAATCGGCTTATTTCATCTAAAACAAAATTTTAATAATTAATATACATTTGTAATTTTTTTTTGTAAGTTTTGGTCTTCTTATTCATAACAGCTACTCGGTCATTTCAAGCGCGCGAAACGCACGAATTACAAAACTGTTTTTATACAAAAAATTGTAGATTATTTATTATATAATATTTTGGCATCAAAATTGTCAAAAATATTCTTCTTTTAGTAGGTTATACATTAAATAAAAAAAAACGTAATAAATATTTTATGAAAGTAGATATAATTTTAATAATTGAAAGGTGTGGACGGGACAAAAAAAGATTTATCTTGTGCCCTCCACCCCTGTCAATTATTGAAATTATATCTACTTTCATAAAATATTTCTTACGTTTTTTTTATTTAATGTATAGCCTAATAATAGAAGAATATATTTGACAATTTTGATGCAAAAATAATATATAATAAATTACCTACAATTTCTTTTATAAAAACAGTTTTGTGATTTGTCCCGTCCATCCGCTTGAAATGGCCGTACCTACTGTAAAACGGGGAAATAGAAACTGGAGGATTAGGGTGTCCCACTTTTACTCATGTATTTTTTTAAACGTTAAAACGTATTTTATGTATTTTTATAAACGTTATAACGTTAAAGAGAAACTATGTTTGTTTTTACGAGAGAAGTTGCCATACATTTTTTCAGATAAAAAAATATTTAGAGGTCGCTAAGTCTTTTTTATCAGGAAAAGGCTATGTTCACAGTTTAGGCCCGTTATTTTTAAAACAAGAATTTTTAAAAATCTAAAAACCATAATAAGTAATCTTTTATAAATAATATTATTTGACTATTTCAGGTTCATTGGACTAAAATAAGTAATTTTAAAGGGTGTTTTTAGAGCAAAATTTATAAAATTTATCAGTTTTTATTTTAAAGGTCTATTAAAGTGGAACAATGGGTGAAACATTAAATATTGTCCTTTTAATAGCAAACAATACCACGCATAAATAAGTTTTTTTTTTAAGTTTTTTATGTAGGTTATTTTTAACAATTAACACATTCGCGGACACGACTGCCATTGCAGACACATGCGTAGGAAGTCCCTACTAGGGACACGTCTGCATTAGCAGTCGCTATAGAATAGAAGCATAGTGTCCATGAACATCAAGTGGGTTAGCAGAAAAGTGTCCCTTTAAGTGGAAATCTGGTGATATATTTTAAGGTTAAATATATAGGTTGTTCTCTCATGAAAAACTTCATGTCTGCTAAAGCAGAGAGTAGCTTCATAACGGCCAATGTAAAGCCGGGTCTACAATTGCACAGGTCGCATATCGCAGAACATAGGCTTGCGCAAAGCACCCAGCTGACAAAAGAACCAGGGCCGAGCCGTGCCGGGGGTGCAAGGGGTGCATGGCACCCGGGCGGCACTAACACAGGGCGGCAAAATAACATCAAAAAAATTGTATCATATTATCAAGAATAAAAAAGCCACCTTGCAATATGCAAAAAACTTTCTAAAAATCACTTGCGTTTTATTGATGTCGGCGTTTCAAGGAATCATCGTTTTTATTCTACACATAAAAACAATGCCAAAATTGTGCTGTCAGGCGGCAATGATAAAAAAGACATAACCGAACGCGCGATAGCCACAAAAAATGATGATGACAATTTTCTTAAAGCCCGGTTATAGATTGCCGCCCGCCCGCTTCGCTTTCCGTCCGTCCGCTTCGAGTTCGTCAAGTTTCATGTTTTACGGAAGCGGGTTTACGGGAAACCAATCAAATCGCGCGCTGTGTACCTACCACGTGATATTGTTTACAAGCTGAACTGTTAAGTTAAAGCATAATTTCTTCCGATTTGACGGCTGTGTATTTCAGCAATTTTTAGTTTTTCTATTAACGTGAGGCAAATAGGATGCAAACATAGTAGTTTCTTTTGTCTTTTAATGCGTTTAAGTTAAAAACTAGTTTATGATTTAAAAGGCATCTTTCCGAATTTATTTGTAGCTTTAAGAATATTTTTGACGATGCCAGCGGTCATTTTCGAAATTAAAACTAATTAAGATCCAATATGAGTCAATTCAGGCTTTCAAATTTAGCAATTATAAGTATTGAAGAAGATATTTCTAACAACTTGGATGTAGGCGACTTGATTAGGAAATTTGCTATTAAAAAAGCGAGAAAAGTAGATTTTAGTTTTTTAGTTTAGTTTAATTATTTTTGTTTTATTCTTTTATGTAGGTATTTGTTAATAAATACTTTGTTATTTTACTATAAAATTTGTTATATGTTTATTGAGAATGATAAATTATGAACTCCTTCCCTACCGACAACCTAATTTTTTACATTAATGGGGGCGGCAAATTTAATTCTTGCACCCGGGCGGCAGATACCCTAGGCTCGGCCCTGAAAAGAACCTTGCTCCATCGCCACGTCGAGGGGTGCTTTGCGCAAGCTTATGTTCTGCGATCGAACCCTTGCGACAATTGTAGACCCGGCTTAAGAGGTTATGTCCCTAAACGTCGATTTTATTTAGTCTTTTTTTACCTTTTAGATGTTATTTTAAGTTGTTTTTTGCGATTTTAACTCTCGGTAAGTACATTAACTTTATATTTTTTATTCCTAATGTTGACTTTTTTATTTCACAAAAAAAAATGTTTCTGTTTTAAAAGAATGTAAAAGCTTATTTTGTTGTATTTGAATAAATTCCTGCTTAATATCGAAACCAGCGTTTAGTTTATTAACGTCTGCAATACAGTGGCGTAACAAATTCTGTATGCCCCCCTCCGCAAACGATTTTAATGGGCCCTCTTTACAATGAGTAAAAAGTTTATTATTACCCTTAGGTAATTTTTAAATTAGTTTATCCTACTAAACCTACATTATTTATATACATAGGTAATATTTTTTATATTAAATTTTTTTACAGGTAGGTATATATAGAGTGTATACTATAGACATACGATAAGCAAATAAAAAAGGATTAGGTAAGAAAAATTGCTGTATGCTGCAATTTTTGGTAGTAAAACAGAAAATATTTAATTAATTTTTGTTTAAAAATATCTTATTCTATATACCTTTTTATATGCAGGATCATTTTCGTTATTCTATAATATATAATATCTTATTAAGATTCTTCCCTAAATATTTTCTGTTCTTATTACCAAATTTTGCCTTTCTTAAGAAAGGCCTATAGGCGCCTATTAGTACCTATGGTATTAATCTAACATAATTATTAATACATGTTAGCCGACACATAGGTGCACATAGGGGGACAAGTAGGGTTTTAAAAAAAAATACAATAAAATAAATAAATAAATAATTTAGTTTTATATAGAAAAACAAAACAATGAAGAACTAACTTAATTTTTACAATTTTAAACAACCTAAAACAGAATTTTACCTGTAACATTTTGTCGTTGATACTGTAAAAAGTTTCTTTCACGCCTTTCTGCACAAGGGAACCAACCCAGAAAAAAATCGAGATAATTAAGCCATATATCCCGATTTTTTTTATTTTTGTGGGTTATTTATTTTCTGCAGGAAAAGTCCAAGTGACACGACATTTTGCATATTTCCGATTTTGCTTTTAAAATAAAAAAGAGTATTACACATTTAATGATTATAATTATTTATTTTAATTGATTATTTTTAATATTCAACCTACTTAAAAAAAGTGCCTTCTGCTATTGCAATGGCAAGCCATGGCTTCGCGGCGGCCTAGGCCATGGCCTAGGTTGGCCTATAGGTTAATCCAGTAGTGCATAGTGATTAAAATAATTTAGTGATTTGTGTCACATGATAAAAAATAACAAAGTTTAAATGTCTGTTAGAACTGTCAAAAAAGTTTCACCTTAAATTTAAAGTAGGTATACCCATGGTTACCGGAAAACTAAAAATTTCTTGAAAAAGTGGTCAGCATTTCTAAAATTGACCAATATATAGCACTTTGTTTGTTCACCTTGTTACAGTAAAGTGCTGGGTATTAAAAATGTTTGCTAAAAATGAAAGAATCGCCAGGTATTTTTGCTCCCCTTTAACCGTCTGGCATGTTTTTTTTAATTGGCTGTTGTAAATGGAGATTTTTACGTCATTTAATGTAAATTCAGTTATTTTGAAAGAATCATTGGTGCACCTTAAGAGGTCAAATTTAACATTAAATTTTGTATAAAAAACATTACAAGAAAGAAATTTAAACCAAAAACGAACTTCACAATGTTTATTATTAAATAAATATAAAGCTATTATTTTATATTAAAAAAAATAAAAAGAAATTATTATTTGGTAAAATCACCACTCCTCTCTATAGAAGAGTGGTGGTTCTACCAAAAATAATTTTTTTTATAATTTAGGTACATGGAACTAATTACATTTTGCATGTTAGCTCTTTTAAATTTCTTTGGCCAAATCTAAACTTAAATTTGTAATTTTATTTACATGCTATACCTAAATATTTTCGATTGGGTTTAAATCGGGGCTCCTTGACGGCCAAGGAAGCGCTGTTACGTGATTTTCTTTAAATCAATTATGAACCACATGAGCATACTGAACTGGCGAGTTATCTTTAAAATAAAAAATATGCGTTGCTTATCTTCCATTTTGACAATAATATAGCCTTTTTCTGCTTTACTTAAGATATGGTAAGGCATAAATATGACTTTACTTGATTTGATAATATTATAATTGATACGTCACTGGTAAGAATCATATTTACAACGGGAAAATTTCGATCACTTTTTTTAGCCAAAATAGCACATGCGGGAGGAATAAAAAAAGAGACTTGCAGGGTTTTAAGGTTAAAGGTAGGAATTAAGTATCCGGTTAATTTCAGATTTTTATTTCTTGCCCCACTTCATAGTTAGCCTTAAGTATCAGAATTTTAAAATTTAAAGCAAAGGATTTTCTTATAAATAACAAAATAAATGAGATAATTTTGTATTTTTTTCTATTTTATGTGCACTCAATGTCTAAGAAAAATTAGCTGTTTACATGCAACAGTACAGATACTGGAGTCATTAAAACACAAAAAATCAATAAAATAGACGTATTTTCAGTACCGTGCTATTGTCAGGGTATGGATTATGTATTTTTTTATACTAGTACCTACTCTTTCAGATTTAAAATGCCATATTACACAAGTAGATATTTCTAATAGAAAATTTTCAAAGGCAAAAACGTACCTAAACATAAAGATAAGACTTTTCAAATGCTTTATTTTGTGCGTACCTGTACTGGCACATGAGAAAATTAAATTACCGTGGATTTCCATTTTTGAGACCCTAAAGGTCATTGGAAACCTTTGGCAAAATACAAAATTGTGCAGGTAAATCTGGAGCGCTGTCAAATGTGTTTGGTTATCATTCAAATCTAGTTTGTTTTGTCGTCTTAAATAAAAGATGATTAAAATAAACCGTGTACTACGTGTTTTTGACATTTTAAGCTCAAATAACTCCTAACCCACTGATCTGGTGATTTTCCAACAAAATTCAGTGGCGTCGAAAATATAGAGGTAACAAGAGGCAATCCCCCAAAATCTACGCGACTGGACTTTTTGTAGGGAATATGTCTGATGGCTTAGAAGTTATAAAAAATGGCTTTTTACCTTCAACTTTAACGGGTATATCCCTGTTAATATGCTTTTTTGATGTATGGCTTTTGGGTTTGTTCTTATTATTTTTTATGCTCTTTCTATCATTAAAATTTTATAGAATAAACTCCCTTCTTCCCTAAGTTTTTTTATATACCAAGTGCAGAAAAAAATCTTTAACTCAAATCCCTTTTATACACTGTTATAAAAATTATATTTGTTAAATTCTAGTTTGTTAATTTTATTTTGTAAAATTTTAACATATATTTTTGTATAAAACCAGGGTTTGTAATTATTTTAACGTAGGAATATATTTTACCGAAATTTTTATAAAGGTAATATGCATGGGCGCCGCTACATAGGGGCAGGGGGGGGCCCGGGCCCCCCCCTGGAAATTCATACTCAGAAATTCCGGTACTCCATAATTTGACGGTAAGTGCTGATCGTTATCATTTGTTCATTATTTTTTAGATAAATTAGATTTGTTATCTTAGATAATTTAACTTAGATTTGTGCCGTCTTAATGAGCACTAGTGTTGTTAAATGACTGGCTGTTCAAAGAAATCAGAAGCACAGTTTACTGATTTCGTTCATAATCCTATGGCGAAGAAACCAGAAGCCACAGATCCCCGGACAACATTCGTGATATTCATACCAACATCATGTCGTGATTTTCACAAGTTTTATTCTTACTGATATCATACAGAAGTCACCACGTGATAAATGAAAATCATACGAACGTCACGTCGTGATTTCCACAAATTTTATTCATACGGACATCATCCGGATGTCACTGCGTGAGAAATGAAAATCATGTCGTGATTTTTATGCCATCGCTGTTTGCGATTGACCGATGGCCTAAAAAATCATGTCGTGATTTTTTATGCCAACGGTGTTTGGATAATCATTTTTGCGCCACGTTCGTACACTAAGAGAAGAATTATGTTGAATCAACAGTTTTTCCGGTTAAAAACATTAAATATTTTCTTGGATTTAAATTAACTATATTATAGTTAATTTAAATCCAAGAAAATGTTGAATGTATTTAACTACAAAAACTGTTGATTCAATATATATGTAGGTATACTTTTTCTCTCAATGTACGAATGTGGCGCAAAAATAAAAATCCAAACACCGATGGCATAAAAAATTACGACATGATTTTTTATGCCATCGGAGTTTGGATATTCATTTTTGCGACACATTCGTACATTGAAAGAAAAAGTATGTTAACAATTGAATCAACAGTTTAACATTCAATATTTTCTTGGATTTAAATTAATTATATGTAGTTAATTTAAATCCAAGAAAATATTAAATGTATTTAACCGCAAAAACTGTTGATTCAACATAATTTTTCTCTTAGTGTACGAACGTGGCGCAAAAATGATTATCCAAACACCGTTGGCATAAAAAATCACGACATGATTTTCATTTCTCAAGCAGTGACATCCGGATGATGTCCATATGAACAAAATTTGTGAAAATCACGACGTGACGTTCATATGATTGTCATTTATTATGCGGTGACTTCCGTATGATATCAGTATGAAAAAAAATTGTGAAAATCACGACGTGATGTTCGTATGAATATCACGAATGTTGTCCGGGTAGGTTTTAAATTCGCAAATTTTGCAAATTTTGCAAATATCACACCGTGAGTTCTACATGATATCACTGTGATGAAGCATGTGTATGCACTCAGGATATCACAGCGTGATAAAAAAAATCACGTTGTGATATCATCATGACTTCACCAGGAAATCCCGATTGTTTTCCGGGTCATTATGTTCATATTCCAAAGATCTTCGATGGAATCTTATATACGTGCAATAAGGTTCATATCAATTTTGATTTGGAATCCAAGGGGTTTTAGCTTAAATAAAACTTAAAAAGTGAAATAATCCGGAAAGGGTTCTTGAATTAATGAAATAAATATTTAAAAAATAGAGGATTTATTTATGAATTTAGGATTTAAATCCTTTTTTGCAAGTGGATTTAGGATTTATGATTTAAATCCAGATAACGTAATGGATTTATGATTGAGGATTTAGATCCAGTTTATGGTGTGGATTTATGGATTTAGATTTAAATATAAATATACATATATTAAATGTAAACATACATATAAAAATGATATTTTATTTGACTTAAGTTTAATGTGAACTTCTACAGTACAACTTGATTATAAATAACATCTATCAAAATTGTAAAAAACTTTAAGGCCCCCCCCTAGACGAATTCCTTCCGGCGCCCATGGTAATATGCAATTTTGTCAATTTCAAAGGATACTTACAGATTATTTTTTTCCAGAGTGTTTATAATATATAAACAGAATCTGTTATTATTGTAATTCGGATTCCTTTTATCTATTTAACGAGTGTGTGAAGTATCCGAAAAAAGAGGCCATCACTGGTTTTCATACAGTGAAGTGGTATAAAGTTACAAAATACATCAGTAAGTTTTGTAGTAATACTGATAATTATATTGTACCAAATTTCTTTATAATTTGATGATTTCAGAATGATGTGTTATTTAATTGTGTGTATGTTATTTTTGTAGGTATGTAAAGGGTGTCCAATTAGGTACGCTCGATGTTTGATAGGCGGCTATGGCTAAGTCAGTACAGACATAGCTGTCAAATATTTTGAAGTTTTGTTGGCATATTATGACATTTGATAATGGAGCGTTACACGGTTGCTCAACGCATTCAAATTATTTAAATTTACCAACAAAATCAATGTTTAATTCGCCAAACGTTTCAACGGCGTCATTTCACGCGGCGGCGATATCCAATGGCCAACGAGATCATGCGCCGCTGGACTTTTTTTGTGGGGCTACGTAAAGTCCCGCCAAACGTTTCAACGGCGTCATTTCACGCGGCGGCGATATCCAATGGCCAACGAGATCATGCGCCGCTGGACTTTTTTTGTGGGGCTACGTAAAGTCCCTTGTGTACGTGAATAAGCCACGAACAATTGAAGCACTAAAGCCAACATTACTCTTATAATAAATGAAATCGAACCCGAAATGTGCGAAAAAGTGATAGAAAATTTGACCTGCAGAATGCGCGCTGTGGAGCGCAGCCGCGGGGGGCATTTGAAAGATGTTATTTTTCATAATTAATGCCATAGGATGTTCTTTTAAATAAATATTTTTTTTCCTAATATATAGTTTGTTTTATTTCATTTTAAAGTTAGAGCACTCTTAAGTGGACACCCTTTATAAATTTTTTTGTTGAGGAAATAAATTAATAAAGCAACATTTCTTATAAAAATCTTTTCATTTAAGTTTCCAACAAATACTTAGACTGGGTCTACAAAAAGGTTTGTAAAAATAGGGTTTTTGATAATTTAAAGAATTATGGTTGAATTATTAACATTGTCATTAAATCTACAAAATGTCTGCTATAATTACAAACTACTTGAATAATTTGTTATTACAGTTGATTGAAAACATAAAGTTATATGGACCTGGATTAACATAAAAACTGGTTAATATTATTTGGTTAAAATTAACAAATATTTTTTTGCTGTGTATAAATTATTTTTCATACTATCTCGTAGAGCAATGTACACCACGAGATACAAAACCTGAATCCAATAAATTAGTAATAAGAAAAAATCCCTAGCTATTGGGCACATTTTGTAATACATACATAAATAAATAAAAAATAGGTATTTAAAAATGTTGTTTATTTTAATGACTTCCAAAAACAGTTAAAAATGTTGTTTATCAATAATCACTCTGTATATTCTCTTCTTATATATGCCTATACAAATATAATATAAAAGGTGGCTCCCATTAACACTCCTTTTTTAAAATTTAACACCTTTTTAAACATTAAAAAAAAGTGAAAAAAAAAGAATGAAAAATACCAAAGTTAATAAAGCTTTATCCAATTGATTAGGAATTTACTGGGATCCGATGAATTAAGGACTGTTAGCCTAGGTTGCTAACACTTTACGTAAAGATTCTCTTAATGAACTTTTAACCAGTACATTTTTCTATATATTTTTTAAATTTTACAACCTTCAAAATTAACCTCTCTTATTATTTTCCCCCTTGATTAAGATAATTATTTTTATTATTTATTTACTCCAGAATATATACAGTTATATGAATTTCTTTTCATTGTTTGCATTGTTTTAAAAATTCCACTTTTTAAAGTAATTCAATCTAGATACTTACTCCAATACACATCTGATGCTCCTTGAAAGAATCTGGGAACATATTTTTCCAATACCCTCATTGTGGTGTTGAGTTCTTCCAGGACACCTACAACTGCATAATGTTGCTCCACGGCTCTTTTTGCTCTTTCCAAAGCGCCGTCGGTATTAAATGGAAGACAATCGGCATGATGTCCGCAAAAGAACATCGATTGACGTCTGTGATCACCAATTCCTTCGCGGATTTCTCCGGTAAGGTATCTACATTCTCTATCACCAGAAAGAACACAACTTTCAAAATCCTACAAAAAAAATAATTTAATACACAATTGGTAAACTTATTTAATTGTGTTTTTTTACTTATTATGTTTGCTTAAATATTTTTTGTTTGTAGTTAAATTTAAAACCTTTCGGCTTACTGATTAATCTTGAATGAGGTGGTACTAATATGCTGATACACCATCTTTCTTATTTACATGCGTATCATAATAATTTTGCCACACAGTAAAAAATATGGATCGAGTAAAGTAGCTAGTGTAGTTGGTAAATATTTTAGAGTTGATATTCAGTGTAAAATGCACCAATTATTTAACTCTATAGCTTAATATTACTCTACATAACTCTATATTACATTATTTGACAGTGTAATATTAACGTAACTCTAAAAATATTATATTTTTTACTCGAATGTCTAATTCAATCGCATTAGTGTTAATTTAGACTTTGTAAAAGGTTACACATTTACACTATAAATTAGTATTTTACAACCGCTATTTGCGTTAAAATTTCCCTAGTTTTCCTCTTGCTAGTGCACTATACATGTATTATTGTTTTGGATTAGAGTAAAGTAAACAGTAATCAAGTATAGTTTTACACTAAAAAGAGTTAAATCTACACTATTAGGGTTATTATTTGTGGTGGGGATTGCAAAGCGTCTATAAATTTGTAAACTAGTTTAGTGCTGTTTCCAAGGGCTGTTTAATGGTTCGCTCGTGCGTGGGCGCCGCTGCGCAGCTTATATAATACGTATAAAATAGGTACATTATTTCTTATTATTTATATTAAAGATATTTTATTGTAAAAACTTGAAATGTGATTAGGCATTATGTCTAAAAACCGATAATAACAGAAACGAGCCAATTATATACAAATCCCATTCAAAATGGATGCATTGATTTAAAAGAAACATTTGTTCGAGTTAATTTAAATATTTTAATTATACATTGATTGGGGAAGACATCAAAGATACCACCAAGCTTTTAAATTACTTCCGCCTTCTAAATATACTTGACAAAATTTAGTATATAATATATTTGTATATTATATTTATCATGTAATACTAATGTATATGTCTTATGTTGACACCTGCTAATGACCTGACCCTTTGAGGTAGAAGCAGAAACTCAATAAATAAATAAATAAATAATTATACATTGTTTTTATTTTTATGTTAACATTAGTTATATGATTTTTTTAATTTTGTTATTTTTCACAAAATATACTTTTGAATTTAAATATATGTTTTTAATTTTCCTCTCTTTATAGCAACTAAGGATAGAGTAATTTTTACTCGATTTGAATATAAAGTTTACTAATCAGAGTAAAAAAGGTATGCATATTAACTAAAAATAGAGTAGTTTGTTTACTCTAAAAGATTAAATAACTCATTAATAAGAGTCTAAATGTTATAAAAATAGTGTAAAATAATACTCTAATTAACAAAACTATTTTTTCCCGGGTCACTACCCAGAGTACCCTTAACACACATTATAATGTACACTATAGTGTAAAATTTATGCACTAGTAAATTAAATGTAACACTAAATACCGTTATAATATTTACCCTAGAAATATAAATTATTACTCTAAAACAAGTCGTCGCATATAGAATGTTTTTAGAGTTTACTAGAGTTAAATATCTTCACTACTTTTTTTACTGTGCATTTAAAAAATAAACTGTAACATATAAACTTTTTCCTATAAGTACTTTTTTATTTTAATTAAAAAATCTCTCATCTTTATTTTTTTAATGATTCTATACACAACACAAGACAGCATAAATTATTTTTAAAAACTTAGTTTAAAAATTGGACATAACGTGCTTCTAAGGTTGCAAAAGTAACACAACTTAAAATTTTATTTTTTTGGATTATTATGTTTAAAGCATCCAAAATGGATGTTCTATCGACTGCAAGAAAGGTACAACTATAAATTATTATAACATTTATTCACTTCAGTATTTAGTTTATTCGATGCAGCTATTGCAAAACAATAAAAAATACAGTGATCGACGACAATATTGGCACAATTTACTGTTTACTCAAGAGCAGTATTTTAAGTTGTGTCACTCTTGCAGCCGAGGTGCGAGTACTTACTTTTTTTAACCATTTTGGATCCGGCAGTGGAATATCTGGAAATGCAATTTTTCTTTCCACATAATACCAAGGTGCCCTGATGTAATAATACCATGATATTACTCTTTCAACCGGATCTCTAACCAAGTTAATGTAAATTGGCTCTGGGTAACCAAACCTAAAAGATTCTATAAACATTACACAATTAATATAGTTAATTTTATCTTACGCTGACACGTTTGTAAAACAAACATGTTTAATGTATACTCCGGGGGGTTCATAGCTCGATACTAATCCAGATAACTCTTCTTGATCTTCCGGTGCCAATCTGATAGTTTCTACTCTCTGGACTCGATCTTGATGAAATCCAAAGTCGTTTCTTATACTCAGTCTTCTAATCAATTCCATCAAAGTTTGAGATCCTACTTTTGGGACTCGGTTAAAGAAAACTATATTGTGCTGGGCCTTTCTTGTGTTATTTAGCTGGAAAGGTTCAAGTGTAGTCATCTAAAAGTAAATTATAACTATTTTAAAAATAAATTATTAAAAAAATGATGGTAAATAGAGAAAACAACAGTACTCGCTACTGTCACAAAAAGAATTAATAATATGCGGGACAAAATAAAATCATTTTAAATGGGTAATCCTGTTTTTGCTTGGGTGTTTTAATATTTTTTAAACAATATAGCTTTTAAGTAATAAAATATACCCAAAAGTTGTATTGTTTTAAAATATTGAAAAACACAAGCAAAAACAGGATGACCCATTTCAAACAAAATATACTTTAATAAAATTTATAAATTTACTTAATTTAAAATGTGGATTTAATATGTATGATATTTTTTGATTTAAAAAGAATATTCTTGGATTTGTATTTGCTTAATTGCTCCATCTTTAGGGCCAATTTTAAAAAGATTTTGTACTTGTTGATATTTGTTGAAGTTACTGATTTTTGCCCTAAAAGGTAAATTTTGTTTCCAACGATGGCATGCAATTTATGATTATTTAATTATTATGTGCTAAATACAAAAACTTTTAAGTTGTTATGAAAATTACAAAGTTATTGAAATTAGTTCCGGAACGTCATTTATATTTTCCACTGGAAAAACTTTGGTAATAGTTTCACACGTTAAATGCGATGCCGGGAACTAGAGCGATATAGCCAACCATCTATACAAGCTTTGTTTAAAAATAAATTATTTATGGTTCATTATTTTTTCGTATTAACCCCAAAATTATTTTTTAATAAATAAAGCTTAACTTTTCACTGATTTATGCCATATTTAAAGAAATAGTTCTCAGTGATGGGCGGTGGGTAACAAACTTTGGGTATATACCTGGTTTATATACAGACAGAATGGGTATACGGTTATATACCCATTGGGGGACATTGGATATATACCTGATATTTTACCATCCAGTTATTGTCGAAAAATTGTTGAGGAATTCTATTATAAAATTAGGATATTTCCCTAAATCGTGCGGTCGTATTTCCGCATCGGGATAGAATATTATTTCTCGAAATATTCCATTAAACACGAGTTGTGAGGTTAAGTTGTAGTTGAGAACTGTAACAGTTCAACTGTTTGTGTCACTACTCTCTCTAAAAATGAATTATTATTATTATTAATAGTTATTAGTGGCTGCTTTTTCACTTGTACCATGGTTAACCATGGAATACCATGGTATCCCAAAATGTAACAGCCAATTCTTATGTAAAATTGTTCCCTGAATCCGAAAATGTCGTCAAAAGTTAAAAGAGTAAAACAGTTTTTGAGATATAGTCAATTTTCCATTTAATATGGAATTGACTTTATCTCAAAAACTGTTCCACTTTCATAATTTTTGACGGTATTTTCGGATTCAGGAGACAAGTTTACATAAGAATTGGCTATTAAATTTTGGGATACCATGGTATTCCATGGTTAACGATGGTACAAGTGAAAAAGCAGCCACTAATAACTATTAAATTAGTCATTTTTGACTAATTCATTTTTGGAGAGCTGCATTGTAGGTAATATTAAAGTAAAGTAAATATACAGAGTGGTCCACGTAAGGTGAACCATTTACCTATTTTAAGGAGCTTTAATTAAAACTTTTAAATTTAAAAAACTTAATAAAACCTATTTTATTTGGATAAAACCCTTATAAGCCTTTTAACAGCTGTAATTAAAACTATTACTTCTACGTGTGTCGTAGCATTAACTTATCCGATATTTCATAACACGATATTATCTTAAAAATTTTACGTTTATAGCAAATTGTCTTTCTAAAACAAGAAGTGGGCACTTTTTATAGAAAATGTATAAATAATTGTAGTACTTGCAACAAAATTTAAAAAATCTTCAGAAATAATAAACCAGGATTTCTTTTTGCAACAATTTTCAAAGCAATAAATTCTCTTCTCGCAAAAATTTCCGATAGAAAAAGTTCAGAACAACTTATGATCTCTTCAAAAAACTTATTTTTTTTAAATAATATTAACATCTATTACAAAAATACCATTATCACCACAACAAAAAAAGAAAATATGGCATGAGTACAGAAGTAATTTATGTTAAACTAAATTATTGCAGAGAGAAATTATTGAAGTAAGAAATTAATGCAGTAAGAAATTATTGAAGTGGGAAATTATTGCATTGAGAAATTATTGCAATGAGAAATTATTAGTAAAAAATTATTGTCTGAGAAAATAAGATCGGTGACCGATCATCGGTCACCCAAAAATAGGATATTGTAAAACTGACCATAAATATGGAGGATTTAAATTAAAAAGATTAAATTGCATACCTCTCCAGTGCTTTGTAGTAATTTCATCATAGCTTTTACACCAGGAGCACTATTTCCTAAAAAATAAAAAATAATAACATATAACAATTAAGTATTCAAATCTCGAATATATCGGAAACGGTTTATTTTATAGAAGTTTGAGAAGTATACCTTTTTAATAGTAGCCGAACTGAGTAATCGAAAAATTGCATCAAATGGTATAAAAACCTAACCTCAAAGTTTGTATGGGACAATTCGCTTAAGCAACCCCTGTTTCTACTACACTGTGTTCACTCGAACAATTGTAATTTTGTGTGAATATGTGTTTTGGTAGTAAGTGACTGTTCGCAAAATATCACCTTTCCAAGTCTACCATAGTAGAAGTTACATTAAAAAAACTGATATGATAAGTCACACTTTATCACCCTTTATCTTTTAAACATACGTAATTAGGAAAAATATTTATTTAGATTTTCGTCTTATTTTGACTTTCTTAATCTGCTCCTAAATTTATGCCACTAAATTTAGGGACACCTTGTATATATTAAAAAAATAATATAAATAGGCTATAGCGTATTCACATTTTACAATAACATTTAATTTAATTTTTTTTATTTCTTTATTTCTTAACTAACAAAACTAAAATGTTGATACTACTTTTATACACCTATTTAAAAATAAAGTAACATTTTAAACCTCCCCTAGCCCAGCATGTTTAATAAATATTAATTATTGCTTTTGGTGAGTACTATGTGTAAAACAAGAGTTTACAAAGGGCCGTAGTTTTACCAAAAATAAATCGTTATTTTCTGAACACACATTGCATGTTGTAGTATTTTATTATAATGTTTACAGTAAGTTTTATTTCATTATAATTTTTAGTTTAGTTTTAATCAAAATAATTATATTTTAAACTAAAACCTGAAATTTAAATTTGAAGTTTGGGACTAATCCCTGAATCTTGGATTTGTTCCTAAAATCCCCAATTAAAGGGACAAGTGGGCAAAGGGGTTATTTTAAATTTAAATTATGAAAGAACAGAAATTTGATATTGCAATTAAAGGGTGCAATAACCAGCCCAATAATAATGCAATAACCAGCCCATAAGAGTAAATTTTCAGGAGAGCAAAAGGTCCTAGACATAACGATTTATATTAACTCCTTGGCCAAATTTAATAAAACTTTCAGGTTTTTTGCAATGGACAAAGGGCTTAATTTAACGTAATTAAATTTGATTTATTTAATCCAGAGGCGTCACTGGGGAATCCCAATTAGATATTTGAAAATAAAATTTTAGTAAGCAACTGCTTTTTTTATAAGTTTAAAATTATTTTTACACTAAGCTAATAAAAATCCCGTAGTTTTTCTCTATCTTGTATAATTTTTAAGAAAATATTAAAAAATTTCATTCACTCGCACCTAGAAAAATTATGGTCATGAGCGGATAAAAGTATTTAATTTTTTTAAAATTAAACAAGGGACAAAAAAGTTGCATTATTTAAATATAATATTAAGCTCATAAAAAAGCAGTGGCGTGACCATACTTTAAAACACCATAAAAGTTTATATAAACTTTTCTTTTAATCTATTGACTATTAAATTTTCCACATTAAAATTTGAGGCAACCTGTATGTGACTCGCTCCGAAAAAACGAACCATAGATTAAAAAGGATTTTTAAGATTATGATTGTTTTTAGTGGATTGATCTTTCAAAAAGTCCAATAGTGATTTGTTTATCTATTTAAGTACAAAAACTCATATATCCGCTCCTTGGGTAAAAATATAAAAGTGCCTATTGACATAATTTTCGTTTAACATTAATAAATGTAGACTGTAAGTACCTACCAAATATTCATAGTTTCAAAAATGGCGAATGTGCCGGGATTATGTTCTCTTCTCTTAATTTAGTTTATTGGTTTTTTCATTTAATGATAACTGACTCAGTTAACCTGAATAGCGTCCGGTCCCGGCAAAAATTTAAGTAAGCACTACACGGAAAAAAATCCCTTACTAGGTTTAAGAATAGTTCTATACTTCATGTTAGGAACTTGATTTAAGTATATTTATTATTTCTATGAGATTAGCGTACATTTAAACTAAGTAATGGGATATACTTAATTTTTAAGAAAAACTGTTACTTGATTTGAGATGAGTATTCTTGGATTGAGTTTAAAGGTATTTTATTTTAAAGAAAATTGGTATACTTAAATCAAATATACAATAATACTTAGATGAAAGACCTCTAGTTGTTTACTCAAAGCGGAATATTGCCACTTGATTTAAGTATTCTGTATATTTGTATGAAATTTCGGTATACTTTATTTAAATATATGTATATTTAATACAAGAACGCTTATACTTCAATTTAAGTATAAGACTAGAACAAAGAATACACTATACTGTATTTAAGTATAGCTATTATTAAAACAAATACCTTATTCTTCGCTTAAGTAAATACCGTCCACCCTCTAAGACCGCTTCGCTAAAAGAAAAGACGCAGTTTCTGTGTTCAGTTCTGTCCTGTGTTCTATGGTGGTAGCGTGTGTACGTGTCGGCACCGGCAGTTCGTTTTTTCCTTCTTCGGTCTGGATGTTATTTTTAATAAAAAATAATGGAGAAGAAACTTAAAAATTGGGGCTTAGAATGTTTACTAGACACATTTTTGGGTAAGTAAATAATATTACATTAATTTAAAGTAATTAACTAGGCATGATCGTAAAAATGTAGTGTAAAATGGATAGGTATACTGTAGTGTAAAATGGATAGCATACGACAGGTAATAGACAATAAAACATAAACAGCAGAAAGGCTATAGCCTCCAATTCAGCTATATTATTTTTGTTTTAGAAAACGAGATAGATATCGATATTATGGTAAACCTAAGCGAGGAGAATTTAAAGGAATTAATTCCAAAAATAGGATTGAGGATCAAGTGTAGAGAAAAAATTGAAGAATTAACACCAAACCATCTACGATGATAATGGTAGCCTTCTTAGAGACTCATTTTACATATTATTTAGCTAGAGATAAATTTTACTGACAATAAAAATACCTACTTAAAAAAATATTAACTATTGTGATTAAAAAACCTTACCTTTACATATAGCACCAAAAATGTGATACCTAGGTACTTAAAAAAATAAAATGTAAAATATAGTATCTATGTTAATTAACCGTGAAAGAATGAATTTATATAAATTGACAGTACTTTTTCTAATACCTCTAAGACTGTTAGGTAATAAACCTATTGTGATATCAGTGCCTATTATACTTAGTACTTTAGTACATTAAAATAATATGCCAAAAATACTGTTAAATTACTGTCATAACGATTATATTTTCACTTTCACTTGTATTTTCCGTAGTAGTAGAATAATTAATACAAATATTTTTCAGGGTCACGAATGTTTTTTTTGTAAAAATTATTCCGAGTCGCTAGACGAGGGAATTTTTTTTTCTAATCAACCACTTTCTTTATGAATAGTGTAAAGTTATTTTAAATATATACTATACTTTTATCAAATATAAAAAAAGGAAAAGTAAGAATACAAGCATTTTATGCAAGTAAAGCGTGTACTTACAATAAGTATAAATAAATAAATTTTAAAGAAAGTATATTCTTAAATCAAGAATACTGTAAAGATTTTACAAAGAAACTATACTTTGATGAAGTACATACTAACGTTACAACAAGAATACCGTACTCTTCATTGAAGACAAATTTGTATACTTAACTCAAAATTAGTGTGTTTCTTATTTTTAGTATAGCAGTAATCTTAGATTAAACCGAAGCTATCTTTATTTTATAAGAATATGAGGATACTTGAAACAAGTATAAATTTACTTGCGGAATAGGGAAACTAAGCTATACTTGGATAGAGTTGAATTTTCTTGGAATCAGTATAGATTTTTTTCCGTGTAGTTGATGTAGTGGGAAGTGATTCGGGTCTGTAAACACCTTGAAGTGGTAATCACAGTTCTATATACAGTTACGTGTCCGAGTTTTAATGAGGAATGATTTTTTTTCGTAAAACGCAAGGTACTTTTGTCTTGAAGCATTTTTATGTTTTCGTAATTTTTGAACACCCTGTACATTTGGTTCAGAATTTTTTTAGACAAGGATACATTTTCATTGAAAATGATTATTTTTTGTTAAACGGGTAATAAAAAGATTTTGCAAAAATCCAAAAATCCAGACGTATAGAGGCTAAACAGATTTAGTTTTAGCGGTTAAAAATACATGGGAATATCATGGTCTTATTTTTTATGGGCTTGTGTTATAGAACCAAAACAAATATTGATTCTACAAATAAATTAATCTCACATACCTAGGTAAAAAAACAAAAATTCAAAATTTTGAGGGTCGGTCTGATAAAAAAATAGGTCTTGGTAGGATCCGGTCAAAAACAAATAGGTAATATACAATCTTGTCATAAACAAACATTTCTATTTTTACAAGTTAATTTTTTAATTCTCTTACGTTTTATATTGCAAGAATTTAATGTACTTAACTTAAAAACAGTTTCATCGCTATCTTGAAAAATCTGATCAGAGAGACATATTTGGTTTTGACCGGAAGCTTCTCAATTAGTCACCTTATTCAGTTTTCATTTAACATTAACAAATGTAGACTGTAGCTACCAAATATTCATAGTTTTAAAAATGGCAAATGTCATCCACCGAGAACAAACCTCTATGGCACGGACTTATTTCCATAATTTTAATCCTTGACAGTGGCGGCTGGTGAAATATTATTAAATTGGGGGGCAGAAATTTATATATGAGTATGAGTATAAGAGACGTATAACCGGCCCCATTGCCTCATCGCTCCCGGCCCCGCATAGGCCTCTGTTTCCTTGTGCCTATTTTCTTTCGACACCAGCACCGTCTCTGCTTCACCCGTGTTTGCTGGTTGCGAATGTCCATTGCGTCCCGTACTGTCCCCTAATTAGGGCTCGATAGCGAAATGCCAATAGTTATAGTAGCCATTCCCGGGTTCGCCGAGCCGATGCTATACGCCCAGAAGGGTCATGAAGGAGGTAGGACGGGAGGGATAGACAGTTTGGTGTTTGGGGGACAATTACGCCGACTCAAATCAAAGTACGACGCGGGATCCCCCTAGACCGGGAAGTTAGTATTGAGCATTGATAAATTTATTGCCCTAGTAAGCTTTCCTGTGTCCGAGTTAAGAGTTGGGGCGGATTTGTTTTGTTGTATTTGTTGTTATTTTGTTACTATTGTATTAATTTTACTGGTGCACTTTGTTTATTTTATTTTTTTGTTATTTTTTTGGTTAGTTTTTCTCATGTTTAAGCAAAAACTGCCTCATTTAGGGTTTTTCAAGGTACCTGTCATGGTGGCAAATAATATTAGGTCATGCAGATGTTTAAGGTTACTTATCGAGAATTGCAAATTGACCTTTCCTCCCTTGGTTATCCTCTTTTGTTTGTCTTGTGAAAAGCATCCAAATGCGTGGCTAGACCGCGGCCGACCACCCGGTGTCAACCTACACCTCAACTTCCACTTCCCTGATCTAAGGGTGGTCTACACACAATAGTTGCCACACTACAGACTATTTGCACTTTGCGAGCTTTGCTGTTTGTAATTTTCAAGAGCGCGACACAGCCAGATGCGACTTGGATAATAAACTTACCGATGTATGTAAGATGTGAGACCCATAAACAGTTGAAAACCATATATCTTAATCTAACATTTTTCAAACCAGTACTTATTTTGGTTTTTTTGTTTATAGATAAAGTCAATTCGCCTTTCTTTTACGTGCATGAAGTGCTCAATGACAAGTTCATTCAAATTTTCAGTAGCCAACAATTTTCTTTCAATGGAACACATAGCTAAAGCGTTTAATATTTTTTCGCACATTCAATATGTTAACTTATTTAAATTAACACAAGTACCCGTCCCAAAGTTAATATTGAGAATTACATTTAAAAAGTTTGTTAGGGTGTAACATTACAAATAAATTAAATATAATGTTTTTGATTAGCATCGGGGGGACTCGGGAGGGCACTGCCCCGTTGCCCTTCCTGTAACAGCCGCCACTAATCCTGGATCATCCGATTGATCTTTTAAATTTTTTTATATATCTATATATTTTCAATAATTAGCAGTGCATTTTTACCCTGGAAATCCAATATTGTTCCTCCTGGGTCTTAAAGTCACTTATATTCCACCAACTATCGCATAGAGCAATGCGTACACCATAAGGGACAAAACCCAAATTTAATTATGATGTTTTTTAAAATATAAATTTGTTTATAAGTGAAACTGATTACATGTATACAGTGGACAATTAATTGATTATGTTTTTTATTATTTTTATTATTCAGTGTTTTTAAATTACAAAAAATATCTGTAAAAAAATTGGGTCATGTTCATTATTTAAATATTTATACTTTAGTTTTAAATGGATAGATACCTACCAGAAATCAATTGATTTGAAGTTATTATATCATCTGGCTGCAATTTTACTTCCATTTCTTTTAGTTTCGTATTTAAATCCCTAGTGTGCAAAAAAAGAAAGAGTGTTGTAGATATCGCCATAAGTGCTATAAGTTCACTGGTCCTGAAAAAATAAGATTAATTAGTTAATTATTAAATTATATAAAGTCAAAGATTTGGGGGTTTAGTTGACAAATTCTAGGGATCTTAAATTTAAAATTGGCTACATTGAGTAAAACAAATTTAGTGGATTTATGCAGGGACGTTCATTTTGTTGCCTGGATTTTTGCAGCACACACTAATTATTTTATCAAAATGCTGTTTTGTTTTTAAAATTTCTTTTCGTTTAGAATTTTCTGTTATCTTTGACATTGTTTATTATAATTTTAACATCTTAATTGTAATGTAAAAGTAAAATTAAGGTATTGAACAGAAGTACCAATTATAATTACGGTAGTTTTACTCACAATTTTTTATTGTAACGGACGCTACAAAAATTCCCGAGTAACGTGGAATGGCTGAGTATGTATTAAGTATATTGATATACATAAGCATGTGCCGTGCAAATTGTGCACCGCATATATATATATACACACATGTCCAAAAGTTTGGAATACTTACAAATAATATATCTACGCCTATGGTAGTTTAAAAAAAACGGCTGTTAATATTTACTCTATTTTCTCTGTCTTTGAGGTTTATTTATTATTGGTCGGAGTCGTTATAAAATGCTATTTACCTATATAAAAAAAATATATATAAATATCAATAAAAAAAGAAATATTGCAATATTCCAAACTTTTGGACATATGTGTATATACAGGGTGTCCGGGAAAAGGAGGTCAATCCGTTAACCATATATTCCTTGAGTTAAAATAATAAGACTTTCATAATACCATTTTTCAATTTAGAGCTTCATGTTCGATATACAGGGCGACAAAGTTTGAAATTTAAAACTGATTTTTTTTAATAATTCGAGTAATTGATAAGATATTAAGTTCAAATTCGGTACACTACTTCAACATAAATAGTTACATTTTTTGAGACCAACAAAACAAAAAACAATTGTCAAATAATCAAAATTGGGGGGGTCCAGTACTCACTGACTCCCCCTATTTTTTAGTACGTGCGCCAATGACTTCCAAACAGTATTTTTTCAGGCAATCATTTATTGTTAAAAAAAATTTGTCTCTTATAAAATTTTGATAAAATGATTTGTTTTAGAGATAATTTGTAAAGTATGGGTCAGTCCATATCAAATCAACCAATGGTTCTTCCCCCACCATCTCCGATTTTGATAATTTTTGGTAAATTTGTTTACCTCACTAAAAAACTCAAAAATCCCATATATTAATTTTTTTCGATAGGTGGGTTTTGTTTTATTGATTTTTGAAAATCAAAAAATTCCGATAAATTTGGGTCTTGCAAGTACTTACAAAAATAGCGATATCTCGTAAACTATTAAAAGTAGAAAGGTGAGTGATGGCTTATTTTAAAGGCCTATTAGAGACCTTTTTTATGATATATCACATGACCTAAATTTTTTCAAAAAAAAAATTAAATTTTGAAAATTTGATATGGACTGACCCATACTTTACAAATTATCTCTAAAACAAATCATTTTATCAAAATTTTATAGGAGACAAAAATTTTTCAACAATAAATGTTTACCTGAAAAAATACCGTTTGGAAGTCATTGGCGCACGTACTAAAAAATAGGGGGAATCAGTGAGTACTGGACCCCCCTATTTTGATTATTTGACAATTGTTTTTTGTTTTGTTGGTCTCAAAAATTGTAACTATTTATGTTGAAGTAGTGTACCGAATTTAAACTTAATATCTTATCAATTACTCGAATTATTTAAAAAAATCAGTTTTAAATTTCAAACTTTGTCGCCCTGTATATCGAACATGAAGCTCTAAATTGAAAAATGGTATTATGAAAGTCTTATTGTTTTAACTCAAGGAATATATGGTTAACGGATTGACCTCCTTTTCCCGGACACCCTGTATATATATATATATATAGCTCACTTAAATGGCCAACTATTTTTAGTAATCATTTTAAAATCCTCGGTAAAACCAGTAGGTACTTATTTGTTTAAAATTTAAAGTGTAAGGTAACAAATTAAATTGGGCCCAATTTATTATGATTATATTACATGTGTTTCTAAATCAGACATTTCGAATATAATTTTTTAATTAAATTCTATATTCGCTTAACTTGCCATTTTCGAGCCAAGTTTTTACTTAACCTTTTTATCCCTATTCCTGGCTTCCTGAGTATTTTTGGATAATTTCCGAATTGGATTTCAAGAAAAGGAGGGAAAACATTTTGGTTTTTTGGGGGACGATAGACTGACCCAAAACTAAGTACAATCCGGAATCCCCCTAGTCCTGGGATTTAGTAACACCCACATTCAATTGGGGTTCATGAATGCTTGGTTAATACGCTGTATGGGCCTATTTTGATTCTTGTGGTACTTACTGTTCGTCGAAGTTTCAACAAGTTACTATTTTGTCATCCTAGAACAGTTATTAATTTATTTTTTTCCAATGGGCGCTGCGAAGACCATTAATTAACTAGTCAAAATATTGCTCTTGTTACGAGTTGGTGTTTGGTTTTTTGTGCACGCTACCTTTTTCTTTTATGTGTTGTTTAAACCCTTATATTGTGTTCGAAATAAAAGTGTACTTTGAATATGGTATAAGGATAGGTATACAATCACGTGAGTTTACATTATACCTGCTTTCCTTGTTATTTTTGAACGCCGCGGAACATATACATATGTACCTATAAACTGGGGTTCTAAAACCAATTGATTTTGCTTGTTATTTGACTGAATACATATAAATAATATACCCATTATTTTATTTAAATCCTTTAGTTACTTGTATGGCATATTCAAGTTTTTGAGATACATTTAGATTTGTTTTTTAGTGTTGATATTTTTTAAATAATTTACTTTAAAACATTTTTTTATATTAATGGTTTTCGTTTTTTCTTATTGAATTTTAAACAGATTTTAATAAATTATATGTAGGTAAGGCTGAAGGACCCCGGTCGACGGCCTTTTGTATATTTTATATTATATTCTTCTATATGTACTCAATATGCAATAAAAACTTTATTTATTTATTTATTATATGTAGGTAAATTCAAATTATTGTTTGATGTATCCTATGCGCATGACGGGTGACGGGTGAAACCAAGTCCAACCGAGAGTGCACTCTGGGCATATACTTTTCGAACAGTTGACAGTTGTATATAACCAGGTATACACCAGAAAAATCGAACGCGCAAGGTAAACTTGGAGTGTATCCAGAGTGCACTCTTGCGACTTTTCGAACGCCATCTTATAGTCTAAGGTTTGAGGTTTCTCCTAACCTACAAAAGTGCTTAAATTACTTAATTCTACGCCATATTCTGATTTACATTTTGCACATTTTCAACATCCGCTTTAGTGATGCCGCAGATACGAGAGATTTTCGCCTCTCGTCTCGTCTCGTCTCGACGAGACGAGAGGGCGATTTTCTCTCGAAAATAGGCTCGAGATGAGACGAGAGAATGCCCTCTCTCGCTCTAGAATTTCTCGTTTCTCTCGATCTCCCTCGTTCTCTCGATTATTTCATAATAAACCCAATTTGTTCCTGGTTAACGTTGTATTATTTTATAACACAACTAAACGTTAACCAAGAAAAAATTACTTATAAAATAATAATAATTTTTAAAATTTACCCTGTATAAGCACATCTATAGATGTGCTTATATATGGCATATATGGCACTCCTATATGGCATATATAGCACTACTTATACTATTAAAAAAAAGTATGCTTAATAAGCATTGCTTATTCAATAAACTTATCAACAACATGTGGTTTTTGAGGGGCTGATTACAAATTTGATATTCATTTTTTTTTAATAAAATGGCTGATCCAATATGACGAAAATTTGTCGTTCGGCTTTAATGGTTTGGGTAAAATTTAGTATTCAGATAATTATGGGGTCCCTGATTCAGAATTTTATATCCATTAAAAAAACAAAATTGCGGATTCAAAATGACGAACATGCGCAGTAGGTACAAGATGGTTGGATCTATGAGGAGTAGTTACATCATATAGGCGCAGTAGTTTTCAGATGGATGGATCAAATGATTTGATCCATCCATCTGAAAACTACTGCGCCTATATACTAGATGTAACTACTTCACATAGATCCAACCATTTGATTTAAATGCGCGACATTTTCGGCGTAAAAAGTCTTACTTTATTAGTGTGGCCTTGGAATACATTTTTTTTATTTCCAGTTTAAATTTCTATAGAAAAAAATATAAACGAATTCGTATTTCATTCCAAATAATTTTTGTATTCATACTTAGGTACTATTACCACGAGAGAAACGAGACGAGACGAGAGAAAGGCACTCTCGAGCAAGAAAAGAGTATTCTCGACGAGACGAGAGAAGGACTTTTCTCGTCTTGTCTCGTCTCGCGGCATCACTAATCCGCTTCCTGCTAAAATTTTACTTTCAACGTGCCAAAAGAATAACTTTAAACTAAAAAAAACATTTTTTTTTAAATTTTGAGCAATATTTAAAATAAAGCGGTTCATCATCCAAGGACCAAGCCGTTATATTCTTCTTCTTTTTCTTTCTAATTTCGGTATTTTCAACCTTGGTGCTTGGAATCTAGTCCATGTGACCATATGCTTATTTCAACGTCTCACGGCTTCAGGAAGAAGCTACCTCCGCCATTTGACAATGTGGAAATTTCAATCTTGAAACGTCCATTCAACCATTTATACAAATCACAAAATACCTCGCTAAAAGGTCAAAGCTTGCGATATTGTTTAAAAATACAGGTATTTTTCTATACCGGGAATCCAATTTTGTACCTTCTTGTTCGCAAAGTCAGCTATGTTTCACACTTTTCATCGAGCGATGCGCAGCCCACGGTTTACAAAACCGAACTCCAAAACCTTTATATATATCGACCATCAATTATAATTGATTATAATTATAAATATAGCGCGGAAGTTTTCCAGCGATTACATAAAAATGATTATTGTGATATTATAGTTATTTTTTGCACATGTATAAAGATAAGTGTTTACTTTTTTAACT